AAACTTTTAAATTATATTTTTGATCAAGTGCTATTGCTGATTTGGGGCATCCTCACTGGAGGTTTCTGTGGCATTTCCAAAGCAGTCCTGGACTTCAGTATCCGATTACATCAGTTGAGTTTGACAGCTGAGCCGATTTATTTACAGGACAGGTACAGTGTAACCCAATTCTTTCTGTAATAAGAAAGCTCTGCAGAGCTTGTGGGCCATCTCTTTCCTCCATCTTGCCTCAATCTCTCCACCTGGCTCCTAAGCCCTATCAGATTTTTTAAGGGAAATGCTGATTTGATATAGCAGAGATAGATTTAACGAGAATTCTGTCTGGTTCCTCTTTCTCTTCATCCCATTACAAACACTCAGAAACCTTTTTGCAACCAGAGACCTGTATACAACAAGTATTACAAACATAGAATGGGGAATATTACATATCCCTTTTGGTGGCTTCAGGGCTGACAATAGCTCGGATAGATGACTAACTAATAATGTTTTTTGCAGGTGCCTATGATGCTGGTCCACTGAATTCTCAGAGGCAGACAAGTGGTAGTACCATTTCAAACTGCTCTGAAGGGATTAGGGAGTGGAAATGGTACTGTATAGAAGTACCTTTTATTTGTTCCTTGATATGAGTAACAACTCAGTGGAACTAAACTAATCCCAGTAAAGTATGCATTGTACTTTTAGTTAAAACAAGACTCAGATGTGAAAAAGTTACCTTTAGGCAGTTAAAAATGTCAAACTACTCTGTTTTTTTTAAAAAAAACCATTTAGTTATCATTTAAAAATCTCCCCTGCATATTTTAATTATTATAATTTGCCTTTGCACATTGGTCAACTTGCACAGCAATGATTCTCCCTTCACTTCACCAATCAACCTGTCAAAGAACATGGGTCCTATTATGACAGTAATAAAAACTCACTTTTACCAGCCACCACCTCTACCAACATTATGGGGGCAGCATATTAAAGCTTCACTTGTGTACACAATTATGAGCAAGCTTGAGCTAAACCTTATATATCATCCAAGACACTACCACTCCACATATGTTTGCCAGATAAATGATATGATGCAATACCCTTTTGCTTGAATGAGAACAAATGTGGAGGAAAAAGCATCTAAAAAATTGAGGGAGGGAGGGAAGAAGCCACTGGATTACTATCACTACTGCTGCATGACAGAGATGCTACTGTACCAGCAAGTTTGGAAAAGAGAACTAAATTTGGATGTATCAAGGTGTTGCCATTATCTCCTGTTCTCTTCAGCTAAGTAGCTCCTGTAACTTCTTCCTTTGATCTGGCAGCAGGGTGGGAATTGCTGCAGTGAGACTAGGGAACATGTGTGTTGCCTTGTTACATGTAACCAGCTGACCTCATCTTACACCAGTGGTTAAGAAATTTGATAAGCTAAATATTTGAACTGAACAATTGGGATAGTATTTGGCATTCAAAATACACACAATATTGTAAAATGAGAAGAACTTCCTAATTAATTAGCAAGAAATCAGCAATATGGCTAGAATAGTTTAATTAAAAGACTTACTTATTCCAGGCTTGCCTAAGGTTTTTAGCACTGTACTGCGTAAAGCGATCTGTAACAAAAAACAAAGACTTTTAATTTTATATTAACCATTTTCCTTTATTATGCTTACTATTAAAGGCAGCATTTACAAGGTGGCTAAAATATGCCAATAGTAAACAATAGCTTTTGAACCAAATAGCAAGAAAAACAGGAGAGTATCCCATTATTTGTAAAAAGCTCGTAAGAATAAATTATCTTCACCTAATCCCTAAAAAAACCTAATAGTGTCTCTGCAGATTAGGCAAGTGGAATCACCACTGAAAAAATCATTTATAAGGACAATAGCCCAGAGCAAAATTGTTTATTAATATTCATATGAGTGATATTTTCAGATACCTTGAACCCAATCTCTAAAAATGTTATATTCAAAGTGACGTGGAAACTATATTGGAAACTACTGAATATTTAATACTATTAAATAATATTATTTAGTAATTTAATCTATCTGCCAAATTGTAAACCAGTGTTTTAAAGACTTTGCACACTATTAAACAGACTTTACAGAGACTCAGAGATCTAGCTTGTATCTTGTAATATGGTGTTCTTTAGCAAAAACACATTGAATGCTATACTACAAGATGCATGCTAGATCAAACTGAAGGCCCTGTATTCCAGCTTTTTATTCCTACAGTGACACTTCATAGTACAGTTCATCTTCCTGTTCAATTTCAGAAGCATTTAAATGGTCCAACTTATTAAGGGCCAGACCCACAGTGGAGGGTAAACCATTTTGTCTCAAGGCAGTGACATTGTGATCATGGGGTGGAAGACATTAACATCAGTCCCTTGTCATGGACAATCATGCTCTCTGAGCCCTGGAGTCCTCCACAACTACCCCCCACTGCAGGGAGGTTGGGCCTGTTCAATCAGCCTGCTCCAGGTGACCGATGGACCCAACTGAATTTCAGAAGGAACTTAGGTTTTTTTTCCGTGAAGCTCTAGCACATGGTTCAGCTCAGGTTTTGGTTGTGGCTTGGAATGAGCATGTGACAAGGGCCCTGGATCAGATCGCACCTGTGTGGACTAACTGTGATTGAGGATCATGTAGAGCCCCTTTTCAAGAGGCCATTTTTGGACCCAACTGTGTTGCTTAACTTTCATCCAGTCTCCAGCCTTGCTGTGTGGAAGGTTGTTGAGTGTGTAGTAGACACTCAGCTTCAGAGGTCCCTGGATGAAGCAGTCAGGGTTCAGGATGGGTTACAGCACTGAGACGTCATTGGTTGTGCTTGTGGAGCTAGGGATTGGGATGGTGCATCTGACCTAGTACTCCTGAATCTCTCAGCCACTTTCAATACCAGTTACTGTCATGATGAGCTCAGATTCAGATGAGGAGACTGACAACAAGGAGCCAGTTCCAGAGTTTCTGGATGAATTGCTGCCTGAGGAGCTGCAGGCAGAGGAGGTGGGGCTGCCAGTAACCAGCAGGCACAGCTGCCACCGGCCTGAAGATGAGGAGTCTGAGCTGCCACCCCCGTGGCATGGGTTTGCTGTGCGGAGAGGAGAACAGAGCAAAGGTGCTCGGCAAGGGTCCTTTCAAGAAAGGAGCCTAGCCCTTCCAAATGAGCAACATCAGGATTGCTTCTGTTTAAGAAGAGCAGCGAGTTCAAGGCTCTCTGTTGGCAACAATCGGTCATTTACCCAGGCTCTGTGTGGCTTGACTCCTGACTTGAAACCTCATGACTTTGATTCTGGATCTGGACTGGCTGATGAACCTTCTATAATGTTTGGATTGTTGGACTTTGCTTGGCTATTGTTGTGTCTGCTGTTTTGGACTGGAACTCTCTTAAGGCAAGTTTGCTGGACTTTGGGGGACTTGTTTCTCTACTGTGTGTTCGTATGTGTTTGCACTCACATCTCCTTTGCTGCTTGTTTATCTCCTTCACAAACTTATTAGTAAAGTTTGCAACCACCTGTGTTTGCGCATGCTTGGCTGGGACAGGACAATGACTATGGTATCCTTCTGGACTGGCTTTGGGAGTCTGGAGTGGAGAGGACTATTTTGCAGTCAGCATTGGGGGAGGGGGAGAAGTCTAGCCTAGGCCCCTGCCACTCCTCGTTAAACTACATGACACTGCTGGGAGAGGTAATCCAACAACATAGAATGGGGTTATACATCTCTATCCCTGGCTGGCCAGATGATGCTGTTCAGGTGTTGACCCAGTGCCTGGAGGCAGCGAGGGTCTGAATGAGGAAGTGGCTCTGACTCAACCTTAGCGAGACCAAGTGGCACTGGGTTTTTGCCCCCATGGATCTGGTGTTGTGCCATCTTTAACTCTTGCTGGGGCTGGACTGCCCCAGGCAGAACTTGTGCACAATTTGGGGGGTCTTCCTGGACTTGCAGTTCCTGCCTGACTGTAGTTGCAGATAGCAACTGTGGCTATGGGGGGGGGGGGGTTTGCACAGATTTATCTTGTGTGCAAATTGCACCCACTCCTGGACTGGGAGGCCTTGCTCACTATCACGTATGCCCTGGTCACTTTCTGCATTACTGCAGAGGCTCCACATGCACTGGCCTTCAAGACCAACCTGAAATTACAACTAGTCCAAAATGCAATGGCATGTGAAATTCTGGGAATCTCAGGCCCATAATACACTGTTGCTGTGTGATCTGCACTGGCTTCCAGTTTCTTTCTGGGTGCAAGAGGTGTTGGGTTACGGTGAGGCTAGAGCTCAGTAAATCTGAATGTTGCTGTATGGGGAAATGCTTGTTTTTGGGATGCTGGGAGTGTTTGATGCTGGTTGTATTGCCTTTTATATATTTACTCTGTGTGTGTATGTGTGTGTGTGTGTGTGTGTGTGTGTGTGTGTGTGTGAGAGAGAGAGAGAGAGAG